GAATGCTCCTCAGCCTCTGTCTGCCTCAGTTTCCTCTGCCCTCCACCAGGGATGCCTCTACCAGGGATGACCCAGCACTGGCCCCATGGGACTGTGAGGGAAGTCCTGTGTACCTTGGGCTTTGGAACACAGCGGCCCAAGTAAGCTCCCGGGAAGGACCAGGCCTCATTCGCAGATAGCCTTGCTTGGAAATCAGCACAGCTACCAGCTCACTTTCCACCCCATTTCCCATTTCCCATTTCCCACTGCAGGTGAGGAGGCCGAGGCTCGGAGAGGTCACAAGCTGCCAGACCAAGCTGTCTGAGACTCAGGACCGGCTCGATTTCCGCTGAATCCGCAATACCCGAACCATGCCTGGCACACAGCAGGGGTCCAGTGGCAACTTGTGGCTGAATGAATACGTGACGACCCGGTGATCACGGCTCTGTCACTCTGAGGTTCGGTACAACCAGGAGCCAGTGCACCTAGGGTTCTAGTTCAGCCCTCTGCCCATCCTTGTTCCAAAGACTCCTGGTGCCACCAAAGCCCCAGCCTCTCGGGGCTGCCAGGACAGGTCGTGAGCTAGACCAGCATACGTGCCCTTGTCCACAGTGGGCCCTCGCCCTGGGTGGGCCAGGCGCTGCCCTGGCATTTGCCCTGGAGAGCCCTACCCAGAGGTATGGCAGGTGTGGGCTCAGGAAGCGCTGGCAGTGCCCCCGTCCTGTGCGCCGCCAGCTGCCCGTCAGGGGCCTGCCCACCAGATGCATAATAGATGAGGAGGCCCAGCGGGCCGCACCTGCCTGGCATTTCGGAGCCACTAATGAGGACGGCCTCGAGCTTCCTGCAGCAGCACACAGGCCCCCGGGGCCTCAGCTCAGTGATCACCGAGAGGAGCCAGCTGAGGACAGGGCTGCCCACCAAGCCCACTACTCAGCACAAACAGCACCCAGGAGGCGAGGGCCAAAGGCACGGGCTCAGGGTGATGGCACAGTCAGCCTTGGTCCATGGCTCACTGGCTACACGCCCCGGGGCCAGCCACGAGCCTCCCTGAGTTCCGTTTCCTCATCTGTACAAGGGGGGGTAGATCAGAAGTCTACTCTGTAAAGCCGACATCAGGAGGGGTGCAACCCTCCAGGCCCGGGGATATAGGGCACACTCCACTATGACAGCAAGCCAGGAGACATCTTGGCGACCAGATGGGACCGAACACCCCCCACCCACCGCCAGCAGGACGCAGTGGGCTGAGCAGTGATTCCAGCCTAGGGAGGATTTGGGGCTACTTTATTGTCCCCTGCCACTTCACCCTGTTACCAAGACTTCTCCCACTTCTGCCACTTTCCCATCTCGGACCAAGGTCCCTTCTTCAACGGATGACAGAGTTGGATTCAAATCCAGCCCTTGGGCCAGCTGGTCCGGCTGGTGGTTAAGACAGCCGGATCCACCTGGCTGACTGTGCAGTTCGACCCCTGTACCAACTGGCTGAAAAAAGACCCTGGGTGGGTCTACATGTGTGCCCCAAATCCTGAGAAAAGGGTAGAGAACAGATTACAGCGTGGCCATCCCTTCTGGGAGTGCTTTCTCTCTCCCTCTCTTTCTCTCTCCCTCTCTCTTTTCTTTTTTTCCTCTCTTTCTCTCCAGTAAGTGTGTATGTTCTAAAGCAAATTAAAGGAAAAAAAAAAAAAAAACATAAAGCCCAGCCCTCCTCAGCTCTGTGACTTTGGGCCAGGGCCTCTACCATTCTCAGTCTTGATTTTGGCCTCTAAAACGGGGACTCTGAGGCCAACGTGCAGAACGGGCATCATGATGTACTACACCTTCCACAGCAAAGTGCCCAGCCTACCCTCAGCACACGGAGCGGGCTCTGTCTCCTCCCAGGTCCTCAGTCTTAAAGCCACAGCCAACCCTCCTCCCAGAGTGCTTTCCAAATCCCCCCTACCCTACACAAGTCCACCTTGCCACTCGCCTACTGACACCTCTCCACCTCCTCCGCCACCCGGGGCCCTCCCTGAGTAGCCAACCCCCACTAGAGCATTTCTGAGTCTCTCAGGGCTGCAGAGTCAGGGTCGACCAGTGTTCCACTGGCTCCCAGTCTCCCACGGGGCCTCCTTCTTCCCCCACTCACACCTACCCTGAGCTCCTGTGCTGCAGACAACCTGCTGGCGGGGGAGGGGTGGGGGCAGTCAGGGAATTCAGCCACAGTCACATCAGGCCTACCAGGCCTCGTAGCTCCCGGTTCAACCTCTCGCTCTAACCTCTTAATCCTTTTTTAAGGGTGGGGAGGAGGGACCAGCAGGTGGTGTGGTGGCTAAGGCACTGGACTCCCACATGGTCAACTGTGGTTCAAGTTCCAGACCTACTGGTTTGAAAATCATGCTGGGCACATGTATGTGCATGCTCAAAATCCCAGGGGGAGAATGGGGGAGAAGGGATTGTGGTGTGGCCATTCCTCCTGGGGGGAGGGTGACATCTCACTTTCCCTCTCACTTTCCATCTCTGGCAAGTATAGGCACCTATGGCAAAAAACTGGAAAAAAGAAAAAAGATAGTGGAGAAAATTATGCCTCCTCCAGGAAGCTCTCCCAGCCTATTAACAGAGTTTTACCTGCTCTCCTCTCCAGACACATTCAGTTCAGTCCTCTAAGCAGTCACTATTATGGAGAGTGGGCTGGCCCTTGTGGAAGACAGAGACAGAAGGGCAGTGCTGGACCTGTCTGGGCCTCGGGCCAGAGGTGGGGCTCAGTCCGCAGCTCCTGCTTCCAGGGCCCTCAGCGCCCGCATCGCATTGCAGGGCGAGGTGGGCACAGCCAACAGCCAGGGACACCCAGCGCCACAGGTATCTGGTGAGCACCACTGGGACTCGGGAGGGAAATGACCACCCAAGTCACACACACGCAGGTTCAAATCCACATCTGCAGACCCCGAAGTCCCGCCCTCCCACTACCCCAGCGATAGTCGCTGAGGTGTGCTCAGCAGGCATGCCAGTGCTCTACAGAAAGACAGGATGTGGGGACCGAGAAAGCAAACACTGGGCCAGCCCCAGCGCACCCCAGGACACAGTGCTGCGCCATGGGATGGTGCTGGGTCCGCAGCCGAGCTCTCCCTGCACGCACCGGGCGCACGCACACCAGTGGTCGCAGCAGGCTGAGGCCAGGGGTGGACTGTGGTGTGAAGGCCCTGCTGGGCATGCCCCTCTCTGTCTCGCTCTCTCTGTATCTCTGCCTCATGTAAGAAAACTAACTTTAAAAAAAAAAAGAAAGAAAGAAAAGAAATACAATGGCGATGAAGGTGGGCCGGAGGTGTGGCAAGGGCCTGCAGAAACAGAAGCGGGCGAAGGGCTGACGAGGGGAGGGATGATGGGGTAGACAGACGGAGCGGGTGCTGACTGGGCCACGTTTCCACGGGTCAGAAACGCAGGGCACGGGAACTGAAAGGGAGCTGGAGACAGGCCTTGAATGCCAGGAGGTCACAGTCAATAGGCGAAGTGACCGCCATTTTCTGAGTGCCAACTGCACTCCACACAGACGGGGCTGTGCTTCCGGGGCGGCTGGGGCAGCTGGACGGCTGGGATGGCAGGGCCCAGGGGTTAGCACCTTGGACAGCAGCTCCAGCATGAGGGCGTGGGACAAGGCATTGTGGGTAACAGGCACGTCTTGGGGATTCTGGGTCCTTTATAGGTGTCACCCAAGGCTCACGGAGGGGAAAGGACTTGCCCAAAGTCACACAGCCGGTCAGTTACTACCCGTTCTGGGCTCTGGTCTCTAACTCTTGGTTCAGAGTCCCAAGACTGGGCCTTCTGGGGTGCCTTCCCCATCTTCCAAGTGCATCCCCTACTCAGGCTCTCCATGAGACCTGGAGACCCTGGGCTCTACACAGAGGCTGGAAGATTGAGGTTCGAATCTCAGTCTGTCACTGACAGAGCTGTGTGACTTTGGGCGAGGCATTTCCCTCTCTGTGCCTTGTGGGTTAATCTGCTTTAGAGATCATGGCCTCATTCAGAAAGCAGCAAGGATTCTGTGAGGTGAAGCGTGCCAAGCATCCGACAGTCCCCTGCACAGGGTATGTGCCTGGCGAGTGGCCTCGTGGTGATAGCGCCTTGACCTCCTTGAAGGACAGGATGGTGTCTTCCTCGCCTGTCTGTGTCTGCCTCCCCTCCACCCTGTTCCGGGCACAGCATGTAGCAGAGACCTCAGCTGACTAGGCACAGCAGCAGGAGATGAGGCCCAGAAAAGGAGAGAAACTGGCCCCAAGGTGCCCAGAGAGCATCAAAGGGGAAGGGAAAGGCAGGCGGGGGTCAGCTTGGGCACCCGCGTGCTTCCTGCCCCCAGTGTGGTCCACAGCTGGGGCCTGCAGTGCCTGCAGACCCAGGAAGCCCTCAGCAGGGATGGAAAGGAAGAGCCAGAGCTGCTGGGGGATCCCCTGACAGTGAAGGGACAAAGACAGCAGCCCGCCAGGCCCACGGGGAGCACCGCCTGCCAGGCGCGGAGGTGTCCTGGGGGACCCCAAGGTAAGGTTGTCTCTTGGTGTTGGGAAGGTGCAGGCGTCCATCAAAGAGAGGGCAACCACGGACTTGGGGGGGGCTTCCGAGGGCCGCGCAGAGTGGGGTTGGAGGGTGCACAAGGAGAAGGCTAAGGGCGCCCCCACCTAGCCAGGAGCCACCCGGAAGTGGGCAGGAATGGAGCAAGGACGGAAACGCTTTCAGACACGGCCTACAGTATGCCTGGCCCCATTGTGTTTAGTTTCCCTTTTCACGACTACACTGCGCTAAGCAGGCACTTCAGTCTCCACTTCACGGATGAGGAAACCGAGGCTCAGAGTTTAGCGCGTGGCAGAGCGAAATGCGAACCCGGGTTGCCTGACTCCGTGGCTAGAGAGACAGTGGGGGGTACACAGGGCAGACTGTGAGGGCCTGCCCAGCCCTTGCCCAGAGAGGCTGCTGGACAGTTGGTGGGGACCAGTCTAGCTTCTAGGGGGTACAAATGGTTGGGGGTGTCCACAAGGCTCCTGGGAGTCCCCAGTACTCACCACACACTCCGGCGTGGGACGAAGGACTTGTCCACCCTAAAACACAGCAAGAGGGGTAGCAGGTGAGGGGCAGGCCCTTGATGCCAGCCTTGCCCAGAGCATCAGGCCCACCTACCCCACCCACTCCCAGAGGGAGGCTGCCTATCTTCCTTGGGTTGCAGGGGCTCAAGTGTCCGTTCAGCTATGTGGGAATGTGGGGCTAAGGAGTAAGGCAGAGACGAGGCTGGGGGTAGGGGGGTACGGCAGGGGCTATGGGGTATTAGCAGGGCTGGCGAGCAGCATGGCCAGTCCCAGAAGTAATGAAGGGGGACAGTGACTACAACAGCAAGGTGTAAGGTGCAGCTGGTTTCCAGGGTTTCCAAACAGGGTCAGGGAGTATGCTACATATTTGTGGTTGTGGTGAACAGGAAGAATAGCCCCCCAAGCCCCTTAGTCTGCCTCAATCCCAGAGGGGCTCACTCATGTCCACCCAGGGACCAGTGCCAAGGAATCAAGGAGCGAGTTCACAGGAGAGGTGCGTCCTCCCCTTCCTCACTCCAACAACAGAGACCCTCAGCCTATCACCCCAAACTTCCCAAGCTCAGGCTCAGCCTCAGGGGGAGTGTGTGGGCAGCACCTCCCCCCCCCACATTCTGCCCCCACAGTCCTCTGAGGGCACCTTGGGGCCAGGGAGGGCTGGGAGGCTCCACCCTCCTGCCTGCAGGGGGCCATGAGGCTGGGCAGCTGTTGGGTCAACAAACAACCCTGGCCTCTTGCAGGACAGGGAGGGGGCCCCAAACTGGACTCCGCCAGCTGAGGGTGTCTTCTGGGGAGGTGGGGCTGGGGGCCCCAGTGGTCAGCCAGTGTGAAAGGCTGACTCTGCAGACAGATGGGAAAAGTGAGACCAGTGAAGCCAGGACTTGCCCAAGGTCATACAAAGACCTGGCCCCACCCAGGGCTCCCTTCTCAGTTGACCCTGCTCCTCTCATCACCAGACAGCCAGCAAGGTCTCTGGAGTGGGCGGTGCCCTCTTGGCTGCCCCCCACCCCTGGCCCAGCTGGGGCCCCCTCTGAGGCTGAGCATCCAGAGAGGGGAGGACCCTGGACACATTCTCACAGCTCGAGAGCCCTGACTGCGACAGCAGCACCACACGCCCGAACCCCAAGTGCCCCGCACTCCACAGGTGTGTCCTAATGGTCGGGAGCACCCCCTTGGGTGGCTGGTGAGGAGGGGGTCTGGGCCCAGTCTGTCCATCCCACTTCTCTTCCCATTTGTCAAATCTCTGCCTTGGGCAAAAATGCCCCCACCCCCCACCTCTGCACTCCTCTGAGCACTTGGGGTCAAGAGGGACAGTGCCCTCAGACCAGCGCCACTCTGACCTCTCTCCAGGCCTCAGGCCCAGACAGGCAGCGGCCCTGGGAGAGCAGGACTCTCCAGTGGGCAGGGTGAGGCAGGGCCCTGCTGCCTGGGGATGTCTGGGCGCGAGGGGGCCTCGCAGTGGCTTCGCAGATCTCCCCCAATCTCGCGGAGGGCCCCACAGGGCCTCCCCCGGACCCGCCTCCCCCCACATACCTATACACAGCCGAGGTGCACACGCTGCCGCGCTGGGC